GAATTATGGTGATTGTTGAGCTCAGTTGAAGCCGTGACAGCTTTTCAAAACAAAATAAAAACACTTACAGGCAAGTAGAGAGTGGACACACAGACTTCACAACATCAGTCCATGCTAGGACTGAGTAGGAGCTGGGGTAAGTGCTCAAGTGACAGAGGGAGTTGTACACAGCAGAGTCAGTCTTTTATAATTCAGTTCACAGGTCAAACAAGGTGAGAAATGGCATGAAGACCAGCCCCATCATAACCTAGCAACCTAAATACTCAGTGTAGCAGGTTGGCTTTGTAAGTTCACTTACAGGTTTGGTTCCTTGATTGCTGAAGGCAAAATCTCAGATGCTTGGAAAACATCAGATGGGCTTTTTGCCAGGCCATCGTAAAACTGTTCTCCAGGTTAAACAACAAACAATCTTTGCAGTACAGAGGCAACCAGCACATAGCAGTACAAACACACACTTTGTAAATACTTAAACCTGTTAATTGTTTTGTTTGGGCAACTTTTTAATAGCAGTGAATACAGAATACTAAATTTCACACAGTAGTTTTGCCTCTTGTGTGTGTACAAGATGTGTACACAGTGAAAACAGTACGAAAATGACTAGGGGGTAAGCTAATGTGGCAAGATTATGTTCTGCAAATAAACTTCTAATCAAAGATGCTTAGTAAAGACAGGCTCTGCACTCAAATCATGAAAAGTACAATGATGCACATTTGACAGATCTGTGCCTTCCTCACGATTTCCAATCATTTGGAAGCACCCACATGCGGCGAGCTTTAATGAAGACCCATTTACACGACAGCCTTGCACAACTCGTCACCACACGCATTTAGAAAGTTATTTGGTCCAGCATACACCAGTTTTTTTTTTACACTTATTATTCCACCCCTCGTTAACATTACATGCACATACACACATCCGTCTGGCCCATCTGTGAAACTAGATAACACTTTAGCCCACAGTAGAGTTTATTCAACACCCTGCAGCCACCATTACAAACCAGAATCAAATCATGTGAAATAGTTCTACCACTTGGACAGTTAAAGTTTTGGTGCCTGGTAACATTAACATTTCTGACATTTTATCCGGAAAAACGTGAACTACATGACCCTGGTGTTCACTATTTGGTTGCTGAGCTCCCAACAATAACAACAACAACAAAATCTAATTCTACTATTACTTGTACAGTGGTTTGATAGCACCTGATAAGGTTATAGAAGTCCATTTAGAGTATGTATATTATTTAACTAAGTGAATATATTGTATAGCAGTTAGTTATGAAGCCCTGAGGTCAGCCAATTGAATTCTTTATCACATCCACAGCTAATCATTCATTTGACAACTGTCTCCCTCACCGGACATAAACAACAACAACAACAACAACAACAACAACACATACAACACACCACATACATGGACATCATTATCAATGGGTAATTAAATGGGTAATTATTTCATGGCAACTTTTTGCAACAATTCAAAGCTTTTGACAAGCGATTTAGGGATAATCATTTGTCTGACAAAACTGGATGAAAGACAGTCTTGCACAGTACCATCTGCCTTTGTTTGCACCCCTGACATTAATGAATGAGCATAAATTAAAGGTATCAGATGCCTCTGCTATTTGTAAAAGGAGACAAGGTAGAAAATGGAAAGAAAAACATCCTCACTGTTGTAGTTAGACCCATCAAAGTGACATTTCTCTTGGGGTGGGCGTTTTCATATTGGTGGTTATAACTTGTTTTATGGCTATGGATGTTAAGCTTTCTGACTTTAGAGGGGCTCACTCATCCCTATTTCCTCCAACATACAAACTCGGTTCCTACAGAGCAGTTAGTTTAGTTTACAAAAACTAAACTAACATCCATCACTGGGACCTGCTGTCATTTCTTTTCCAGGTAAAATGAAATACATATATTTAGGTTTTATTTATTTTTAGATGAGTTAAAAACTTATATTGTATTGTTGACGCCAGTGCTTCTGTGAAAATCTGAAATACTACTTGAGGTGAGTCATTCCAGCAATGGTACAAGGCCATACGGATGCATAAAACACGTTCAGCATCAAAAACTCTACTGCGGAGGCGACAGATTTATTTCTCTAGTTTCTATTATTCACACCATCAGGACAGGATTTCACTATATTCATTTTGTTAGAACCTATCTTTTAAAATCTAATATGTTCTAGTCATTCACATCAACTCCATTTCAGGACATCAACAACACTAAACCACAGCAATGAGAGGGAAAAACAAGCTGGAAAAGGCACTATAGAAATATCTGATTCATGGCTGATCAATAGAGCCGTCTGGACAGGATAATTGTAGACAGACCAACCTGAGAACTTAAAATGAAGCCTCTGAACTAAATGAACAAAAGCATCATAAGGGAAAATCCCCTGCCCTTCTCTTCTGATAGATGATTAAAAGGAGACGACACAAAGCCGCTCAGCTCTCCGTCTGCAACAGGGGTGATAACAATATTACCATATGGGCAGAAAAATTACTTAAATACTAATGTGTTGCCGAGTAACCATGGCCTGAGAGATATAAGAACTACAGAAAACCTCTGCAAATGTCACACACATTCTTGGTGAGTGCCATCTAAAGGTGTGTGTGTGACCCATGACTCAGACCACCATCAGCTACAGATGCCCACTTACAAACGCAGCCGTCATAGAGGCTCATTTTTAGGCACGCGTGTAAAAGAAAAATTCACACTAGGATACTCTTAACAGTATGTTCTTCACCATTTTGCGATGCAGTGCAGGGTTTATTTGGCTTTGAAGAGCTGGATTTTCCTTTTTCTGGTATATTAACTCGCTCTCAAGCTGCCTCACTGCCTCGTCTATTTCTGCTTCATAACTGTGTCCATGCCCTTACTCAGACTACAGTCATGTGACAAATCAAAAAATTGGTTTCTCTGCCCTTCCTACCATGATTTTTTCTACTTGTATGATATAAATTGGTGGATTGTTTGTTTATTTTGATTCAGGGATTGTCATATTTTTCCAAAATTATAACTAATATTTTAGAAAGCTAAAACAATTCTTATATCAAATATCCCTAAAGTTGCATTGGAAATATTTTAATAAATAAAGATGCATCATCACATTATCCACATTTAGCCAATTATTAATAAGAAAAGTGACTCTTTAAACTGAAAAGTTTTTAGTAGTGTGGATTTTCCCTTTAAAAAACAATATACAGTAGGACATATACAGTGTAATGGGCAGGATGGCTTTCAGTTTCATTTTTTCATTCAGTTGACAATTACATGGCAAAAATTACCAGTGTTATTCAAGGTGAACAGCGATTAGACACATGACAACAACATTCAGTGAATCACACACACACAAGAGCAACAATGACAACAGCAATGCTTTGGAGTAGTGAAAAAGTAAAAAAGAAAATCACAATCTTAAGTCTCAGTGAGAGAGTGATTATGGACATACTTTTGTAAACAAAATATACACTTACATTTCATTGGTTTTTTTTTTTATATAATCCATTTCATTTATCTACGTGTATTTACAGAAATTTTCTATTCATATTTTCCATATTTTTTTGAGAGCAGTGTATACTATCATTAGGTTCAAATCAAAGCTTAAAGAATAATCTAATAAACATGTTGCTAACTTTACAATTCAAAGTGCAAGACTGTGATGGGGGAAAGTGCATGACTCCTGCCAGCGAATCACTCTACAAATCTGGTCTACTGGCGTCATCTTCCTGTAATATGTATTCACACATCAAACCATGCTGATTGAGTAAGCACACGACAAAACCTTAAAATATTCATAACATGATCCCAGCATGGCAATAACATGTTGACTGTGTAACATGTTAAGCAAAGGAAAGTGGATTGTTTAGTCCTCATTAAAGCTACAGACAGCAGTGTGGTGTAATTATACGGTCTGAAGACAGTAAGTGTATTTTAATCAGATAAACGCTCGCCTCTCCTCTCACACTTCTGTTGGCTGGATGCAAGGTGGCAGGTTTAAATCTGTTTCTTGGCAAGAAATGTGCCACTTGAAGAAAGCAACATTCACATTAAGTGTGAATTGGGAAATGTATCCATGCTTCCATTTCAGATTAGAAGGTATTAGATGAAATTGATCTTTCTATAGAAATATATAATAGATAGTATGTCCATAGTTATTATTACTTGCTAGAACGTTCCATGTTTTTTAAATTGTCAAATAGTTTCAAAACTTCTGGAGTTCCTGACGAGATTTGACAATTTGAGACCAGACGTGCGTGAGAAAGCAAGTCACAGCCCCAAAGCCTCTTATCTACATTAAGATTTGTTGCAACATTTGGTTTTCTGGGACATTTTTATAAGCCACCAGTGAGTCCATTTTTACTTCCTGGACCTAAATCTTGCCAAGCAATATTATCCAAGCCCCCGTGCAGTGGCCAAGATTGTACTCGTTGCTTAGCAACACTGGCTTACTGAACATTCAATCAAGGAGCTTTTGAATGTGTTCTGCCCTGCAAAAATAAAATATAGCTAACTTACATGAGTATTAAAAAAAAGACAAATAAGATTAGTTTATCTGATGTTAAACGTGTCGTTGGCACAAAAGTAGGCTGCACATTTGATGGCATAAATTGTTTGATTTCTTTGTTAGACAAAAAACAGTTATTTTCTCAATCCACGTCTTACTATGAGTGATGTGACCCTACATGAGCACAACATTTTCTTCCAAAGTTGGAACAGCTTTGGTTACATTACATGAGAAATGTATATATATTTATGTTTTTGTTTGTACTCTTGTCACTGGTGGTAAGCGGCGCTCTTTTGGAGAAAACGTGGGATTTAGCAATATCTGAAGTAGAATCTGTTGGTAGTTGTTATTTTTGTCTTTTAAGTTATGAATATTTACTGTTGCAGAGAGTACTTGAAATTGGAAACCATGCTTTCAGGGGCTTTCAGACATCTGAAACCAAGCTTTTATGAAAAATCTTTTCTTGGCTCTTTTGAAATTGTAGGCTGTGAATTGGTTGCACACTGCTGGGTGTGGCTTTATGTCTTTCTCTAGCAAGTAAGTGTGCAGCAACACAACACATCTGGGTCACAATAGCCGTACATTTACATCCTCAGGCTCAACGTGCAAACAAATGGCTGTTCCACTTGCTAAATACATACACACACACAAACACACACACAAAAATAATTTCAAAACCCACCTGGAACAAAAATCATTTTCATACTGAACAAGAGAACATCACAATCCAAATTCTTTATGCATGCAGCGTGTAAACACGTCATAGTCCTGGTTTACTAAGCTTTTGTTACGGGGTCACAGGTGTTTTTGCAGAGTGTAAATTTCAAGCTACACGTAGCTTTTAGCCTGACAGGTATACATTTGAACACTTACACAGGAGATTCAGGCTCATCAATAATTTCACTCTTTTATAAGAGCTAAAATTTGAAGCTGACATAATTTAACTTGAATTCATCCCGGTGTTGTTGTTGTTCCCGCCTGCATTTCTGCTTGTGAAATAGCTCCTGCTGCAAATCCTTAGTAAATCTGTGTGGTTAAAAGTTGCAGTTGAGGCATGTGAACTGTCCCATGGCTCATGATTCTCTACTGTGTAGTGTGCAGTCGTGTTTTAATGAATATTTACACTACCACAGAAAACAACTCGAGGAAGAGAGACAGGCTTGGCACTGCTTCAGTATCATCACATAGACACAGACTGCAGAATCTGTACAACCGTAATGAAGAGTGTGAATGTAAGTGCGGGGATTGTGTTTGTGTGTGTCCAAGTGAGTGTGTGTTTTTGTTGTGCGCTCCTGCTGTCCTCGTCTTCCTCCTCACTGTGTGGGGGAGCAGTCATCTAGATCCAGCAGTTCTCTGACCAGTCTCTCTCCAAACTGTGCTCGGCTGTAGCGTTTAACCGTGTAGGCGTCAGACATCTTGTAGAGGATGTACGCGTTGTTGATGGCGATGCTGATGCTCAACCAGAACACTTGCTGCCAGGTCTTGTTGGGCTTATGGAAGATAAAGTACCTAAGAGGAAAAAAAGCTTCTTACTCCAAGATAATGCTCCACTATAAGTAATAGGCCTTAAAGCAAGACTATGTAACAGTCATGCTGGCAACAGGTGTCAAAAACAGGATATTGGCACACAACTTAATTTTCCCAAATTCTCATGAGTTAGTTTAAAGAATTCCTCTTTGGACTTTAATGGGACCACAAGTAGGAAATCTATTTATCTGTGACATTTATTATTTAAGCAACTGAGTAATGCCAGTTACAATGGGGTTCAGAGCCTTCAGCTATTGTGCACCTCACCTTTGGTACTCCCTCCCTCTATTCATCCGTACGACAGAGTCCCTATCCTCCTTTAAAACCTTGCTCAAAACCCACCGGCTTCATGATGAACTACTTTCTTTTATTTTTTAAATTGCTTTTCTCTATTCTATTTTCTCTTAATCTTTAAATTGTGCCTTGTTTTTATTTTCTTTATTGTATTTGCCTCCTTGAAATGTATTTTAACTGTTTTAATCTGTAAGGTGTCCTTGCTATGAAAGGCGCCCACAAATAAAATGTATTATTATTATTATTATTATTATTATTATTATTATTATTATTATTATTATTATTTTTTTATATATTATTATACAGCAATATGTATCTTTAGTTTGCTAACATTAACTAACAGTTAGCATTGGGGCTGTAAAATGCAAGAAAATAGTGAAAAATCACAATTTCCTACAGCTCAAGTTGATGTCTTGAAATACATTTTGTCTAACCAAAAGTCCAAAAGAGAAACAGAGAAAAGCAACAAATCCTCATAGTATATTTGTGTGAAATATAACTATAATTGATTTTCAAAATAGTTGTCAATTAAGTCAGTAAGCTAATCTTTTAATTGACTAATCATTTCAGCTGTAGTTTGATTGGTCAAGAAATGGTCAAAGGGAGGACATGGTATCCACAGTTTTTGTTCAAACACAGGATATTTCTCTACATTGAGTGTCTAAACATTAGTCTTCTTATGCCAGTGGTCATACCAGATCAATACAGGACATTTAATTTCACTGTCTTATTGCAAACGTTACACAGTCTCATTGTAAGGGCAGAGTTTATCTAAAATAAGACACCACAAACCCACTGCAAGATTGCAGTCAAATATTACAGATTATTATTTTGAAAAATGTTATACATACTTGCTGTACTTGTCGTCGTATTTGCAAATGTAGCTGAGGTGCGCCGCAAAGGCCTCAACAGCCAAGGGACATGGGATCTCCCCGCTTTTCCTCTTAATGATCATACCTGTCACAAACACATATACCATACACTGAAAGTGAGAGACATACAGCAGAGAAACGAGATCCCACTGAAGAGACTCCTCTTATCCAGACTCTGTGGTCACCTGGCCAACAACCAGACAGGGGAAAGGAAAAGAATCGCTCTTTTATACACGAGGGAGGTTGTCCAGGTGCGCCTCGTTACAATTTATGTTTATTCTTTGGTCCCTGGTGAGCTGCTTTGTTTAATGGTTCTTTTTCACAGCATACATTCAGACTTGTCAGAGCAGGAAATGCACAGATGTAACAAATAACATTAACGATGGCTCTGTTCCATTTAAGTCACGGTATGCAATGACAGTGAGCCAGCATGCACAACATCAGGGATTTTAACTTGTACATATATATCCATATAAATGGAATGCAGCCATTATTAATGTTAGCAGTTACACGTGTGCCAAATCAAAACTACAGATTTTTATTAATAGCAATATTTCTACTCATGGTTCATGGTAGCAGAAAAAAATTAAAAATTAAATGAAAACATCTCAATAATGATGCAGTTGTCATCAAGTTGTTTATACATATAACTTATTTTTCTTTTATCATCATGTTTATTTCAGTCACTGATCTTGACCTGGTTTTATTATATGCGTCATAATAAGAACAAAATGTTGTGGTTATGGATGGAACTACTTTTTTTCTCCTTTTTGTACAGAGTGAAAACCACAAACACACACCCACCTACGCACACACAGAGGGAAAGAAAAATCAATATTGGATAATAACAGTTTAACTGATCTGGGGCTTTGCTTCCGCTCTCTTCGTTCAAAGAGCTCATACAAGCTGGAGCCCTTCAATTAGATTTAAAATATAACAAAACTGTTAAATGGAGAGTGGATTATGCTATAAAATGAGGGGAATATCACTATCCTGCCACCTCCTGGAAATGGATTACCATGGATTAGAGGCTCTCATTGATTTTCCCTGACACGAATGCTTAACCATGTGCCAATTTCACCTGAAATTCATCCAGAAACGACAATACAGCTAATCTTATTTTCACTGAAAAACTCTCAGCCCAAAGACTTTTTAAATGTTCTGTACGGTTCTACATACATGCACAATACATTCTGTGCACTAATGCATCTTGTGTACCGTCTCCCGTCATTGCTAAAATATTGATAATTCAACGACCTTTAGAGTTCAGTGGGTGCACCATTACCTTGTTTTGTTGGGGAATAACTGTTGGTGAGGAACCTGAAGTGTCCCTTGTTGTACCAGCTGATCAACGACATGCTGCCTTTCATCATCACTCGTGATTGGCCGCGCTGCGCTGGTGTGGAGCCGCAGACCAGCATGCTTTGTGGCAATCCTGTACAATCGCTCTTCCTGGTGCTCAGCAGACCACAACAATAGATATCTGGAGAAGGATAAACACCAAGCAAATGTTAACATTTGTATAAATAACTCTGCAACAGAGAAACACTGGACTAGTATATATACAGATGTGAGAAATATAGGCAATTATTATAGATAGATTACCAAACATTACTAACAACAGATGAAATAATTAGTAGATTAACTGATTTGTCGATACACATTAAATTAACTGGCAACTATTTTTGTTGCCAATTTATTCATATTAATAATTGGTTAATCATTCACATAATTTTTTAAGTAATAATTGCAATTATTTCCTTGTTGCAGCTTCTCAAATATGAATATTTGCTGTCTTCTTATTAAAATTGAATATTTTTTGCGCTGTTGGTCGGACAAAACAAGACATTTGAATGTTTTTACTACTTATTATATATATTTTATAGACCAAACTCTTAATGCATTGATTGAGAAAATAAACAACACATTAATCAAATAAATAAAAGTTTTTTAACTAGAGCTGAAACAATTAGTAGATTAACTGATTAGTTGATATACAAAAAAAATGATCTGTTAGTAATTTTTAAGCAAAAATTCCAAAAATTCTCTGGTTCCAGCTTCTCAAGTGTGAGTATTTGTTGATTTTCTTCATCTTATATGAATGTATTTGGGTTCTGGGTAATGTTGATAAAGCAATTTGATGATATCACCATGGGCTTTTGGAAACTGTGATGGGATTTTTCATTGTGTTTTGACCTTTTATAAAACAAACGATTAATCAGCAGCCCTACCTTCAACCACGCCTGCAGTACTTCCTGTGCATTTATTGTGCTTTTCATGCATTCTGCTTCTGATGTGAAACAAAACTATTTATCTCTCTCACAACTGTACCCTTCTTTTCTTCTTCATATGCCATCTCTGTCTTTCGATTTTTCTGTCTTTCCACCCATTTCATCTCTTTGTTTCTTGCATGGATGAGCAGCATGAAACAATCATGCGGCTGACTGCTGCTGATTTGTTAATGTTCTCAATTTGGAGAATGAGTTCTATCTTTGTATCACGTGTGTGTATGTATGTGTGTGTCCAGAATAAGTGCTGCAGAGTAATGCAGGGCAATTAACTCCAGTTAATTAAACCAGCATGATAAATTTGAAAAAAAAAAGTTGAACAATGCTTTCACAAGCTCAGAACTGAATTTTTCCTCGGCTGAATGCCTTGTGGAAACTTCACCCAATTAGGATGACAAAATATTGATTATATCTCTGAACTAGTTTTTCTTTACTTGGCGTACTACAGCTCTTCCCGGTTGAGTTCGACAGTGCTCTTCTGTTACTGTTTAGTGAAAGCACGTTTGTGAATACGGGAACGTAAAAACTTTTCAATTTCCAAATTGCGCTGATGATATCGTCAAAAGAAGCCTGATCTGTTTTGCTGAATATTTGTTCTCACTTGTAACCTTTCATGGCATGACATTGTCCCACATGTGCTATTACCATTACGAAAGGTCACTGAAGAGAACTTAAATGTGACACCCTGCCACCACAATAGGATTTCATAATAAAAGATGCCTTAATGAGGTATAATGAGCATTAAAATCAGAGCTCTGTGGAAAACTACTTCAAAGATGGGTTATCAGCATAAAATATCACAATTTCCACCAAAACAATTTCCAGCTGACCTTTTGCAAAACATTCTGATAAAATAACGCATAATGAGTCTGGGGGGTATCTGTAAGCCATTAACAGTAAGACAAAAACCCTGTTTGGATTCAGAATTTATAGTTGTCAAATGTTACGTGGTGTTTCACCTAAGTTTCCATGAAAGTGTTCACTTTACCTATTGATTTTTTGAGCGGTGACAAGGCTTAACACTCCCTACCAAATCCTCCATGATTTATTGTGCAACAGTCTACTGCAGTGCAATCCCAGAGGCTGTTATGGTTGATGTTGGTTGAGTTACAATAAAAACATCCATCTCAACAAGTCACTTGGTATGAGATTCAAGTCGTCAAGATGCATTTTTCTTAAAGATGGAAACATTTAGTGATGTAATTCAGCTTAGTTTCAGTGCAATTTCTCCTTAGGGAATTTTTTGTTAAGAAAGTGAATATTTATAAATATTTAATATATTTAAAATTTAGTATGCATGCAATCTCAAAACAAATTGGTTTGTACCAGGAAGAGATGACACACCAGTGGCAAATTTGTTTGACTTGTTTTTAGGAATTACATATAGACAAAATGGCAGTTTTTTGCACTGTCAAGCTTTCTTCTTTGAGACAGTTTCTCTTGTTTTAGAAATGTTTAAGTTCTTAGCCAAGAAAAAAAGTTATTACATATAAGTGAGGTATGACAGAGGCCTGCTTGTGCTTTTACACATTCCCATGTTCCCAAGCAAGGATAAAAAAAAGAAAATTCATCATTGTAATTGCACACTGTAGAGTTGTGAAGTCTTATTTGAAGGTGACATGCAACAGACTGTTTTCATCTCAGTGCTGTTTATCCTGGGGACACTATCATCACAGTATAATAAAAAATAAATAAACAAATAGAAAAACGCAAGATGGGAGATGAGATGAGAAGAGAGATGACAGAGTATGAGGAAGGAAGAGGGAGAGGACAAGAGACAGGAAAAAAGAAACAATGCTTTAATTAGGCAGCATGGAGATACAATATCTGCTGTTGTATCTTGTTTGCTGTGTACCTTGTTTGCTGAATTCGGTAAAGAGGCTAAGGCTTGTGATGGATGGCCCAGTGAAGATGATGGTGTTCTTGCCGGAGATATTCTGGCAAAGCTGCTTGGCCACGAGGCTGTGAAGCTGAGGCTTGTTCTTCAAGGTGGCCAGACCGTCCGTACCCTGGCCCTCCTTCAGATGGACTGAGATCTGCAGGGTGGGATGAAAAAGACAGGACATGTAGATCAGACAGATGTAGAACTAGCAAGCTTTATTATTTCCGTTCTCCATAAATTACCAATGTATTGTTCTCTAGCTTAGAAAATGGTGCAGCTACAGTATAGGTCTAAACCCTCGAGGCTGCATTGTTTATTTTACAAAAACATACGGCATGTTGAGGCTTTTCTTAAAGTTTTACCAGAAGAGGCTAAAAATTCACGTTTGAGATAGTGCTAGAGAAAAGGCCATGAAGTTGCTAAAATCTAGTTGAACTCAAGCATAGGTTTGTGAGATTTCATAGTAATATGCTGATTAGAGTATGAAGTATCAGGATTATAAAGATGATGTTTTGGGGGTCCCAGTGGCTTAAAGTAAAGTTGTATTTTTCAACCTGGCATAATGCTATTTATTTATTAATGCATTTTGCGCCACCCCTTGTTTCCTGTGATTTACCACAAAGTAAGTGGTGAATGCAAATTTAGCATGACCCATAGAGTCACAATTGCCACATTTATGGTAAATCCTCCAGGTTGAGACATACCAGAATGTTAAGGCACTGACCACATTGTCAAGTCATTTCTCTGCTGCTGATGCTCTCACAACGGCATAAAATGCCACAAAAAACAGGCTAAAAATTACTTTCTGACCTCATGTTGGTGCAAGGAGAAAGGTGAGGTGTCCAAGAGATGACTTCATCCTCTGGAGAACATGAATGTGCTCAGTATATTTCATGGCAACCTGCCCAGGCCTTTGTGGTTTGGATGATGTCATCCATCCAAAGGCTAGATAGCCTCATTCATTTTCCACTAGTATAATCCATAATTCCATATTTGACTTGGAAATTACTTGTTGCTCTCAGTGGCTAGAGCAGGAGAGATCTGTTGCTCACTTCAGCTTTAGTCAAATCACAACCTTCAGCTATTACACTAAGTGGTCAGCCCATGCCTCTGTGTGTGTGTTTGTGTATCCCTGTGTGGTGTGCTGGCTAATGGAATCTCATTGATTCACTCCATTAACTTGTTTTATTTCTTAGATTTTTTTTCTCTCCCTCGACACAATTCATTTAGAGAGAAAAGATCTCAGTGCAGACACACATCAGCGTACAGTGAACTGGTAAACACTGAGTGACTGCCAAATGGCCGCAGTCAGTGTGAAAGATAATGTGTATTTGTTAAATGGATGGGATAATGTGATATGGCCTCAAATGTCTGTGCTGTTTGTTACACAGAACTTGCGCATCAATGATGACAAAAAGAAAGAAAATATGCACATTAGAATTCTGATTGTGGTTGTTTCTCTCTCCACTAATGTAATTCTGGACTACATCCAGGCTAAAGAAGGAAACATTTCCCCTGCAGTGTAGTCTTATGCCTGAAATTGATCTTTTATGGGTTCTGTGCAGTGAAATGTCCTTTCTTTACAATGCTTTATTATGGCTGTATCAATTTATCCGAGAGCCTGGTGAAGTTGGTCATTTGGCAGGCCACTCTCAAACCTGAACAAGAAAATGTTAGCCTGCTTTACTGATATTATTTGTTTTTTCTGTTTCTGATGTCATGCCAGCATTATAAATTGTAATAAACTGGGTGAGATGTTACTGTTATATTATGAGTGTCAGTGTTCAGAGATGCTCCTTCACTTAGAGAGCTAAAGATAAAAAGGACTGTTTAAGTTTAAATCACTTTGATGATTCAAAGTTCAGTTTTGTTCAGTTAAAAGATTCATAATCACTGCATATTTAAGATCCTATTATATATTTATCCTATTTAATACCAAGCTAAGCGATCGCATCTCCGTTCAAATGCACTTCAGCAGCAACAGTGAAGTGAACACATCACCAACAACCATGATGTTCAGTGTTGATCCTGACTGCCTTCAGTTCAGTTGTACACTTCTGTTTCTGGTTCAAGCTGTCACGTTCAACTCAGTACAAAACTACCCTATACAAGCACTGTTTATAAATGGATAGCTCAGCAGCCACTTTTTTGCAACAGACAAAGATTCCTTTGTATGTGTACTGAACCCCTCTATAGCTACCGATGACTGGATTTGTGTGAGATAACATACCTGTGAGTGTGACAATTAGAGGGAATGGGTTTTGTTTTTCTGCTAGTTCAGAAGCAGAAGTAAAACTATTTGCAGAAGTCTAAGTAAGATGCTTGTTTAGAGCTAACAAGAGTGAACTGTTTTGGTGTTTCTGGTGTTGGCTAGGGCCCACAGTATTCATTGCACTGTTCGCTAATGAATTGTCAGTGAAGCCAGTAAATGTCTTGTTGCATCCTCTTGAGGGACGCTACAATACTTGTGTGTGTGTGTTTGTGTGTTTGCGCATCCTCCTGTACTTTTATCTTTGTGAGGACCAATTTAACTAATTTAAGTGATGGTGGACATTTTTGGAAAGAAAGGCATTTTGGCCAGTTCTCACTGGTTGAGTTTTTAATTATGTTTAGGTTAAAGGATAGGTTCACAATTGTAAATGTATGTCTTTAAACAATGGTCTGTTGTCCACATGGACATTAAATAGTTTTCGTTTGCTGTAATCATTCCTCCTCTTCATACTGGCCATTAAACAATCCCTTTATATCGCCTAACCCACATTCCACAGTCTGTAATGTAAAATGTATTAAAAGGTCTATTTGAAGTTAAATGAGACTTCAGCAGTCTAGGCTAGACTAATGGTTATCTTGAACAGTCTAACTTAGACTATTTAGCACAAAAATCCTACTTTGTGTTACTATCCCTTCAATGCAACTCAACACAGAACCATGTCCTGGGAAACACATACAGGGATTTGTAATACTAAATGTACTTTTTTAAATCTAACTTATTGCAAGCACCACAAACACAGTTTTATTCACCTCCATTGTACTGGGGTAGAGGTAGAAATCTCAGATGCAGATATCTCAAATCACTGACAAATAAAACCATTGCAACAAATAAAAGCATTGTCAAAAATTCTAGCTGCTGAAACCACGTGGTAAATGCATTATGTCAGTAAAGGTCCTCTTGAGTATATCAGTGCAAACGTTTGTGAGTGTGCCTGCCTGTGTGTGGGTGCCTGAATGGAAGTCTTGCAAAATTTAACAACCTGCATTTTGGTTTAAAAATGAGAGCGTTCACTCACAGTGTAGCTGGGCATCCGGTCTGCTAGATACTGGGTAGTAGTGAGGAGGAGGCTGCCTCAATCACTTGTCACCAATTTAACAATACAAAATAAAAATGCAACCCCATTTCTAATGTTTTCTCCTCTGTCCCCTGTCCTGCAATGGTCAGAGTTGGACAGGTCTGTCAATCCTCCTGCAGTGCCAGGCCCCAGTTAAATGGTGGTGTTACATAAGCAAACAACGTAGGAGTGGAAGGTTGCTGTAAGGGCAAGGTTGTTAGTGAGCAGAGCAGCTCTGCCTGAGATATGACAACACAGATCTAATTCTGAGTTAGTAGCTATTCCACTCTAACACAACATCAAAAGACAAATCTGACAACCAGTACTTTTGCTCCAGGAGGTATATTTCTTTCCAAGAAGAGTTTTGATAATTTCTTTTTTTTAAATCAAACTTGAGTTCTGTGCGTGAATTTATGAAAAGTGATTATACTCTCTGTTGTGTCGACAGTAATTGGCTGAATGCAGAATGAGGCAACATCGGCAACCTCAGAATGAGATTTGAAATTTGATGAAGATCAAAGCAAGGCTTTTTTGACTCCAGGCAGACTGAAGACTTTTTCTTGCATTTATGATGTAAAATATTAGATTTCTGCCATGAAGTTTAAAAGCAAATTAAAATACCCTCAAAGCAAACAAAAAAAACATCTACTCTTTTCTCTCTCTAGCTTCTTTTCACTGAGTATTGCTACCTGACAGATAAATCCGGTGGAGGTGCATTGTCGAACCCAGAGGCTGAACTTCCTCTTCTTCCTCTTCCTCAGCTCTCTTTCCGTACAGGTGGTGATGAACACTGGATCCTCGTCTATCAAGGGTTCGTGAAGAACCTGGAAACACAAACGTTACTGTACACATGAGTTTGCCTTAGCGGATTTTTATGTAACCATGTCGCATGTGTTACTGGAAAAATAGCTGGCCTTAAGAAAGGAGAGGGATTTTGTGTGAGGGATAAGAGTGATTTGTGTATGAAGTAACATTACAGCTAAGGGTTGGAGACAGAAGGCAGCCAATTGAAGATCCTCACAAGTCTTGTATGTGAGTGTGATGCTGCATATTTAGAATTTTCAGAAGTCTCTAAATAGTTAAGATGGGTCAGATCAGATACGGTGGATAAATTTCCCAACAGTAATTAAAGAAAGTATTAACAACTGGCACACATTCACAAATCCAAACACACGCAAACAGGGGCATTAACAGAACACACACAAAACCAAAGCTTTTCAAACCCTTTCTTGGACGTTTAGACCAATGCAATATAACTAAAACCTGGCCAAATATTTCCCAGAGATGCTTTCAACCACACACCAAATATTTGCATTTCATTTTTCTCTTGGCTTTCCCTTCCTCTGGTGTCTCCCCGCCTCCTCATCCCGCTCCATTGTGATTTGACTAAAGCTGAAGTGAGCAACAGATCTCTCCTGCTCTAGCCACTGAGAGCAACAAGTAATTTCCAAGTCAAATATGGAATTATGGATTATACTAGTGGAAAATGAATGAGGCTATCTAGCCTTTGGATGGATGACATCATCCAAACCACAAAGGCCTTTTATATCTCATCATATCTCATCCTGTAACTGTCATATTAGCACAGCGGTAGTTACTGCAGTACACTTCTCTTCTCTCTGACCAGATACACCTTATCCTAACAGCTGAAAACAAGGTGGTTACATCTCCACATGAATGCTTCAAGTAAATCATTTGCATGGGTTCACTAATACTGTACTGGACAAAGGGAGGAAGAAAATCCACTCACTTGCTGTCTTGCAGTGGACGTTAGATGAAGACTGCGACAAATGCTCTCAAAGATTTTTCACTTGCAAATCAATACAAAGCAGTGTCAACAGATCTTTGTAGCGACTGCAAAACTGCCAGTGTGACACAGAAAATGTGAAGCATCGCTGTCAGCAGGAGCTGACATAACATGCTCATATTCACACAAGCACACTCACACACATGCTGAATAATGCTAAGTGGCAGATAAATCCAGGTCACACAGACCCACATGTAGAGAAATATCTTGTATTTTACATTTGACGACAAAGACTTCCTTTGTTCATTTCTTGACATTTAAAAATAGAGCTGAAATGATTTGTCGATTAATTGATTGATTAGAAGAAATTAATACGCCACTATTTTGATAATTGAAATAGTATTTTTTTTGGTCCCAGGCATTAATGGGTAGATGACTTTTCCATTGCCTGTGGAGCAACAGTTTTAGTCCGTGCCACTCTCTCTATCTGGGCCCCCTCTCTGCCCATGGCACAGAAAACTAACACAAACTGGCCTAGATACACATGTACCCCGTGCTAATGACACACATGCGCATGCTGTCTGAAAGTCTGCCCTCATTGTTATAGTTTAGTCATTATCTAAGAGGATAGAGAGCACTGATGTGAAACCGCAGTTCACCAAACTCTTTGTTACTTTACAATGAAATTAACTCTGACGTTCACATTCAAACTGTTTTGTCAGTAAAATGACATGAGATGAATGAGATGTGGACGTGATATGAGGAGGGAGTTGCTGTAGGAGGCTGTTTTCCCAAATGCATCACAGCACTGACATCATCTTTCACAGTGAAGTTGATGTTATAGCACTCATTCTGCAAGACAGTGCCCTCCTCCTAACCAGATTCTAAATATGTATGATTTTATTATTATGGAACATGTGGATGAATGAGAAAAGCCTTTAAATGAAGTGGAAGCAACGCTATGTCCTCCAATAAGAAACCAAACAGTTTGTTATTTTTCTTTGACTTTCATTAGTTAGTTGTTAGGTAAAAAATAAACTTAGTAGAATATGGACAATCAGGAGCACATGACATGCTATGATTTCTTTTCTCTCTGCTATTAATGAGACAAATGCTTGGTTTTCATCAGGTTGAACAAGGGTGAGTGATTGCTGCTGTCTCTCTTTGCTCAAGAAGAGCACATTTCTTGTGTTTTTTTCTTTTTTTGCCATCACCTGATATAATATGGTAATCAAGTTGGACAAGAGCAAACAATGATATGGGAGTGCTTATATGCTTTAACATATTCTACTTCAATCAGGTTCTTTATTCATTGTCTTTTTAAAAAATCTGCAGTGCTGCTGTTCATCTACAGAATAAAGTAAAGTAGGAGTTGAATAAACCCACTGCCACCCAAAATAGGGTAGCAAGGCTGGCGCTCCACTGCCCCAATTGCATAAATGTAGATATAATGCATACAGTGCAACTGGAAGCAAGTTAAAGCAAGTCCTCTGGAGGGGAAGTCTGTTAAAGTACTTTACCAAAATACTTGCTGTGTAGGCAGTTTTCAACCTGGGACTCCTTGTGGGAGCTATTTAGTTGATTCGCCCTACTTCAAGAGTGAATAGCTAGCTTAGCTACTGCATTAAAAGTGCATATGTACTGTATATAAATGTAAATGTACTTTAAAGTAACACTGCTAACCAGATAACAGAGAAAACAGTGATTCAACAAATGTTGAATGTTGCATATATTCAAACTTAACATGTCATGTATTGATCAACTCCAGAAGCTGTTTCATAATTTTCACATTTATTGGAATAGATAATAAAAGGTAAAATGGTTGAAAATGGTCAACTGTGCTGCTAAATCTTGCTGACCCCTGAAAGAGTTGTGAGTGTCAGCTAATAAAAAGGATACTGGCTGAAACATTAACACCCCTGATGTTGCAGCTACTATGCCAGTCTGGCATTACAAATGTATATCCATGCAGAATGTAGTACCTAACTGTCCAAATATATTATAAGATGCTTTAGGGAGTAGAGTGCACACACCTGTGTCTGTGAAGGTCTAAAGGTGCAGCTGAATGACTGCTGCAGCGAGTCCAAGAAGGGTTGGATCTTGTACAGGCCTTGGTTGCTTCCCTGCGATGGCCGGAAAGCGACGATGTGGAAGTACTTGAGGATCTTCTCAAAGCGTGCCTGGCTCATCTTCAAGGCGATGCTCCGGTTGCTGAAGAAGCCCGAGCTCCAGATGCTGAGCACCGACTCACAGCGGTGCACACTGGTGGAGGTGACAAAGCCCAGGAAGGCCTTTATCTCCTGGGCTGTGACAGGACACCAGCCTTCTTCTGAGCCGAAGCGCTCCTGGAACTTCTTGGCATACATGTTCGTCTGGGTGACCATGTTTTGGATGCAATTGTCCGGGACAAAGAGCTGAAAGAAGTCCAAGGCAGTGGCAGTGGCTGGCATCTTCTGAGCAGGGCCTGGATCAAGACAGGAAGGAGAAAAAAAGTGTGAAATGTTATGACAGAGGAAAACGGACAGATTGACAGACAAAGTCCCATATGGGCCAGCTCACAGACGCACGCAACTGTCACTTAATCCAAGTTTTTTAACTTTGGCACCAGGCCTTCAATTTGATTGACTTTGCTGAAAAGATTTCTCTTTTGACACTGTAAGACATGATAAAATTAGATTTTGTTGAGCTGTCAAGGCTGTGTGGGATGCATGCAAACTGTCTCTTGGTTGCATAAACTACAGTATTATTTCAAAAGAAGTGAGGAAACAGTAACAGAGAGACACACACATTATAATCATTGTGCTTTTTCATGTATGAGCCACAGCGCCACAGCCCAGGGCAGCATTTGGAAAGTTTACACAACATGACAGCCATCACACTCGTCACGGCGTGGCGTTTCTGCGCTTGCAGAAGGTTTTCAGTGTCTTGTTGCTTTAGTGTTATGGCAGGCAATGACTCAAAATCATGTTCTGATCTGATCGTCGTCAGGAGGAAGCCATGTATGAAAAGATGTTGTTTAAACAGCATTTTCTTTTTTAACCAAAAATGGACACACCTAAACCAGTGGATTTGCAATACACACATAGTTACAGGTCTGTTACTTTACACACATAACGTAACATAACAGATCTGGTAAACTCCAGTAATTCCCAACCAGGAGTACTTGGTAGTTGGCAGTTGCTAGGGGTTAACACACATGGAACGATTGTGGAGTGGCTTAACTAATTTGGAAAAATAGAAATTACAATTTAAATGAAAAAAAGAAATCCTCACATTGAGTCAGCTCGAACACCTGAACACCAAGTGCGAATGTGATGGATTGGTTGAAATACACAGCTAAAAGTATAAATAAACAGCAAATTGTTTGCTTAAAATAATTAACCATTAAAAAGGTTAGTTTGCTTAAAAGTAATTAACAGTTAAAGCTCTTCCCCAGTTGCCAAAAGTATGCCTACTGAATCATAGTTTAGCTATCATTTTAAATATTTAAATATTTTGGAAAATATTGAAATATTTTAGAAATATTTTACAAAACATATCTCTGTCTGGACTTTAAATATTTGTGGTACAGTTTAGTAACTTACAATAAGCTAAAATACTGTACTAGTTAAAATGCCACACTCTACCATGAAACTAATATCCCTTTAAAATTTTCATATGTCAACTTGTGATTTGCTCTATTATATTTGTAACAAGCATATGCTACCTTGTGGTGTACGCAACAGTATTCATTTTACACACGCGCGCAAACACACACACACACACACACACACATCACAAATCATGTGGTTTTTATGTAAGGGCTTCCGACTGTCAGCCTGTGTGTCTTCTTTTCCTATGAAGCTATTTTCCCCTGTTTTCCCTCTTTCATATATTGTCATTCACTAGTTTACTGAGGGGCAAGTGTCATTTCACCTCATAGTAAAAAGCTCTGTAAGTTTTAGGTGTTGCATTGAAGTCATACAGTCAATACACAATGCACTGAGTGCAATGAGTGGCTTGATGTGTTTTCTCTAGTAAATTAGAGGTTTTCTCAGAGGTTATTTGATCGTGAGTAGGAATTTGGACATCGAGCTGAACAACTGCAGGCTAAATTGAACAGCACAATCCCATTATCTCTGAACAGCGTAGAACAAGGTTTTCACTCTCTCTCTATCTCTCTTCTCTAGTCCTGGGTGGTGTGCTGCTTCCAAAATAATGAAAGATTTTTGCTTCAGTCTTAGTGTTAGAGTTAAAGATAACAAGCACAAGACTTGAACCTAAATGAATGACTGCTTAAGCAACATGTGGAGGAGCACAGGAAGAGGAAAAACTCACAAAGCTGATGCTTGCGGTAAAGACAGCAGGAGTAGCCAGGGTGTGGCTCAAAAAAATCCACTCATTTGCATTCCATTAGACTTGAAAGCTGGATGTAAAATCCAGCGTGACTTCCTCGGAGCGAGCCACTCCTCTATAAAAACATCAGACATTCAGATGGAAGGTCCACCGAGGCAAAATGACTCACCTCAGCTCATCTCAGGAGAAAGCCAAAAATACAACCTGAGGGGGAATTCATCACTTTTATGGATAATGGAATTGTTTCTGTATCATTGAGTACCTCAATAGCATTTTCTTTAGACATCCATACCAGTAGATCTTCAGTCCAGCCTACATCACTGATAAAACTAGATCAGACATTTACATTCTCATTTCAGACTACTAATATTAGCTAATGTTCATCTACAAGGGAAGTTGTGAAATATCAATTTCCCACAGTGCTCTTTCCAATCTCCACCTACGTTGCACATACAGACAGTAAGTATAATCCCTCATGATCCCCAGCTGTTGTAGTATTGCTGTTGTAGAGGGACAAACATCTGCCTGGTGGATGATGGAGCTTTTATATCCATGGATTTAAGAATGAGAGATTATGTGTAGACAAAACATGCTTTAAGCTCAGTTTTTAGCGGAAATTACATAAAAAACACATAAGCTTGAGTGCGATTTCTCAGATTTGATTTTCTCAGACAAATGCCAGCTATGTCTGGGCAATATTTTGAAATTAATACTACAATATGAAAAAGAATATTTTTTCTGATGTCAATATACTGTATATGTTTAGAATAGTAAATAATAGGCCAAATCACATAGAAAATGAATTGTGTTCTGCTGCTATGCATTGCATCAGGAAAACCTCTTCACATGTGTAAAACAAAGACTACTCATTATGATTTTTAAATTATAGTTTGTTTGAGAACAGGCTTGTGTGAGATAGTCACACAATGTGATCGTATCAGCCCAATGTTCTTATGTATTGTACATTCAGTACTATGAGGATTTAAGAGCGTCTATTTTCCAAGCAGTAACTCGATAAAACCCTGAAATATACTGGTGTACAGATGATAAAAATGTAAATGACTATCAATTTTTGATTGAAGTTAGCTAACTTTGTCTTAAGAGCCTGGAAAAGAAGGAATGATAGCTTATTTAATAAGCATTTATTCTGAATCTTCCAGTGGTACATGTTTTTTCCAGTGATACAAATTTTGTTACAGACAATGAAAAACTGAAAATGTGATTGTGAAAATTAGTTTCCTTTATTTTTGGACTTTTTGTAGTATGGTTAATAATGTATATAGCATTCTGCATCTGACTTTGTGCCGTCATGCATTCATATCATTGCAGTACACTTTCACTGAATGTCAACAGACCACAATGGGACTACATCAAATTATTTGTGTGTTTTCCTGTGTCATGTGTCATTTGTTTTATATGCTATTTATAGTTTATATAATTTCATTTCTTTATGTATCTCATATTTTGTATATATATACATATGCATGCTAAAATGATAAAAATAAAAATAAAATATCACTTTGTGTGTATGCCCTTTTTCCAAATAGTTCTGCAAAGGTAATAGGTAACATGCACTGCTTGACTGCAGACAGTCAGAAATACAGGTTCAGGGAGACAAACTGACGTATGGAGAGTGCAAGTAATCTATCAGACAAGCTCAGCAAGGTGAATGAATAAATATCTCTTTAATTCCCTTCAACATTATGATAAGGTGGTTATCATGTATGTATGGATGTATGCTTCATAATCCCTGGTTTATTGCTTTGCTATTTCTTTGCCCCTCACACTGCATGGGAAACAACAACAAAACCAAGTATGAGTTGCCGCTGTAACTGTAAACAAAGCCAAAACACAAACCATTGGAAGAAGTTTGTGTGAGGTTAACTCTGTGCTTTTTGACAGAGGCTGATGATTTATGTACGCGGTGCACAGTCTCCAAGGACTGAGGCTGTCACATCAACACTGTGTCTGTGTCAGCACTGTCACTGCTAGACAGTAAGACACATAGACAGACAGAGAAATGGACAGGAAGACAAGTGGGCTGATGGCTACACAGTGAAATCCACATGATAAAAATATCACTGATTATATTTCCACCATGGTTGACTTAGTGGAAATCTAGCTTAAGCATCTTCCCATTCCATGCCATTAAAATCGGTGGAGAAACACATTTATGTATGCTGCAGCTCAGGATGCAGTCAATCTTTACTGTTTAGTCCGATTAAATCAAAGTACACTCTTGGCTACTCGAAGTCTGAAGTGTGATTCTGCTCCATGGCAGTCCTGCATCCTTCCAGTCAGGCAGCTCTTAATCATCTCAACCCTGATGCAGGATGGCGGGACCACACCCACACTGGCACTGCTTGTGCAAACAATCACTAACTGTATCTTTACAAAACAAACCAGGCCACACAAAGCAGACAGACACACCTGCTGCCTCCCCAGCTTCAGTCAACAGAGCAAAAACAGTCCAATAGAGCAGGACAGAGCTGGATGTGCGTGGGCGTACATAACTTCTTGTAACCTTTGTCTCACCAAAGAACCTCTTATGGCATTAGCTCAGTTGGGTTCAGATTATTTTGGATATGTGAAATAGGCTGCACTCCATATCTATGCCATCTCTCATAGGCAGGATTACTGAAGTTAGCTGGATAATTGAGCCGAGTGGAAACCCCTTAAATCTGGAACAAGGACGGAAGTAAACAGAGTGGTTTCGGGTTTTGTTTGCTGCTCAGTAATCCTGCTTCTTCTGACTGGTAGGTCAGTGCCACTAAATTGGGCCCCATATAGCTTCAACAGAAAACACAATAGTTAAAAACTTTTATCTCACAATAATATTTGGTCTTTTATTTTGAATTCTGAAGTAGTCATTTTTCTGTTGGCACTGGAACATTTTGCAATACAAATCTTCTTTGCATACAACCACTGCAGTTCACTTAATTTCCAGTGGTTTCCTGTCACGTTTGTGCTTTTCTACATTTGTATATGAATGCCCCGATGTATGTTGTCACTGTGTGAGCAGACTGGCACTTCCATATCTGCTAGAGCCAAATCCAGTGCAACATGCAACATGTCACAGTGGATTCAGGTTGCATTTTACACCAATTGCCTTTGCTTCAGCTTCGGCAGAAGAGATGGGAAAGGAAGACAACTCCAAAACTAAGCCTGACAGAAGGTGACTGTAGGTACTTGTTGGCTAGCAGTGGGTTTTAAACAGCATGAGAACAATTTGTGAGGTGATGCCTTTGGCCATTTATTACAGAGACAGACTGAGACAAAGAAAGACAAAGCAGCTGTGGGTGCACGGTGCTGTTTCTCTGTTTGAGGTCGCTTTGACTCAAGCTTGTGTCTCATGCTAATAAAGTTCTGTTAATTAACTTGGGGCAGGAGAAGAAAGGCCAGCATGTGTGCATGTACCTGCATACATAGGCCTACACTAGCTTTATGTAATGTGTGTGGATGTGTGTGTAGAACCTGGAGGGACAACATGCTGTTTCTCTAAATTAAACAGCATGTCTCCCTGCACTGCCCTGAAACATGATTCACACATGCACAGGACAGCATGTGTACCAAAGCACCAAGGGGTGAAGTATCAAAGGCTAAGCGTTTGCCATTAACTTAATACAGCAATTAACGATGCAATGTCATGCTTCTCTCACTACACACACGCACTCGCGCGCATACACACAAGGAGGGTGCACGCACGCACACAAACTAAAATGAAACAAGCATCCAGTTGTTCCAAAGCAATAGCCTTTTGTGTGATCTTTTGGCACCAGATCGAGAGCCACAGAAATGGCCTGCCTGACCTAAAAAGCATGAAGGTAGACTGCACTCTTTCTGCCTGTCTCCATTCACTTCACCCACCCAATATCTTCCCCGTTGCGCAAACGACCTTATTCATCTTGTCGTGCATCACGTCTCACCATATGTCTCTTTGTACGTCGGCACCGTGACATCCTGCAGAGTCTCCGTCCAGCCCTCCTCCTCCGCCTGACTACGGGACAGAGAGCCCGGGGGACCGGCTCCGCTGCTCCCACTGCTGCCGCCTCCTGCTCCCCAGCTGTGCCCGCTGTCCTTATCGCCCCGCTTTTGGTGTTGGTGCTTCCGCTGCTCCTCCTCGCCTACCTCGGCTATGCAGTTGTCAGAGTCGGAGTCTCCGGAGGTGCTGTAAAAGGGATTGTCGCTGCTGTCGTCCCCGGACTCGCCGAACACGTCGTCGGATATCTGCAGGCTCTCATACCGGGAGCGGGCCGCTTCCAGGAGAGACAGCGCCTTCCGCCCGCACTCCGCCATCTCTCGCTGTAGTGATGCTGCTCTGCTCCCCCTTTCTCTTTCTCCCTCTCTCTCCCTCTCTCTCACACCTTCCACTACGGCTTCAGCGGCGAGCAAGTTGTCACGATCTTGCAAGATCAGGGAGGTGTTTGCCTTTAGTGTTGCGGCTACACCCTCCCCTATCTTAGGTATGAATTATGATCCCCCCCCCCTGCCCTCCAGGCTCGGATGCGGAGCCCGGCGGTCACTCAGAAGCGTGTGTATCCGGGGTGAGCTGCCAAGCCTCAAGGGTACCGAAAGATTTCCGCCCCCTTGCTCTGTCTATGTCTACAGCCCTGCGCACTGGGCAAAATTATCGATAGCAGGATGTACAGCAGCATCCGGGTTGAGAGACCAGCGATTTCTTACACAGACAGAACAGAGAGAGTCACCTGACACCACAGCCCTTCCCTGTCAGCCAATAAGATGCTTTTACTCATCCAAATTTAGAGAGGAGAGGCTGATGGGAGCTGCTGGAGGCAAAATGTGGAAATAATTATGATGATAACGTTACGATAAAATGTTGGACACAAAAAAATGATAGCATAGCAGGAAGTAATGAAAATAAAATGTAATGGTATCACGTGCCCCCCCCCCCCCCCAAAAAAACCAAACAACTAAATTGATATAAAAAATATGATTATAATATTAGCCTATGTTTTTTTTCAGGATGTTGTCATGTCTATGCCCCTACCACCTATACCCCATAACATTTGCACATCATCACAAACACCTAAACAAAGCAAGGTACACTTAGTAAAAGCCCTATATGTTAAATTCTACACCACAAGAGCTTCCTCAGCAGATGGAGTTTGCTGATTTCTCATGGAATTGCAAATGTTTACACTTTTAGATCAATTTTTTTGGACTCTTTGATAAGATTGGATTGCCGATTACATTTTCCAAAGTCAAGCATGAATAAATAATATATATAATATTGTTTTGATAGTTTATATTTAGTGTAGAGGGATTGACATGCATTTTGGAGGCCCTAAATAACCCTTAACCCCTCTGTACCCCAAAACAAAGCAGACAATATAGCCTATTAGAGCAAACAACAACTAAAAATATCCCCTAAAAGGGAGTCCGAATGACTCACTTGGATGTTCAGAGCGGTACTGCACCAGCAGGTTTACTGCATTTCCAGGTTTGAAATTTAATGCAGCATCAGTTAATTTGAGCAAAAAACCCATTGGACCAAATAATTTGCAAAGGAGCATTGCTGCCTTGCTGTGGGGGCATTAGTGTGCCCACATTTATTTCACTTTCTGTAGCTGACTGCTGACCATAAACATTATCATGTCATCAAATGAGCTCTTGTTAGTGTCAAGACAGAGGTCATCTTTGTCACGAAGGGCACTGACATGTTTTTCTTTCTTTTTTTTGGTTCATTCAGATTGTTTTTTTGTTTTGTTTTTTGCACTGAAGGTCGGAGATGGACCTAAATATTTTACCCTGTTCCAAATAATACCAGATGACAGCTATGCTGTTGAATTAATTTATTAATTACTTGTTTTTTGTCTATTAATACACACACACACACACACACACACACACACACACACACACACACACACACACACACACACTTACTGTTTTTTTTATTTTTAATATCTATTTTTTCGGGAATTATAATATTTTATATATTTATTATTATTATTTTATTTTTATTAACACACACAAACACAACTTTTACTGTTTTATTTACTTATTTAATGAAATTAATTGTTCTTATGTAATTTATATGTAGCTTTGGCAATACAGTTATACATTCATGCCAATAAAGGTGATTTGAATTTGAAGCTATGAGCTCATCCAAGGTTTACATTTAGCTGACGCTTTTATCCAAAGCGACTTACAATTGCTATACATGTCAGAGATCACACGCCTCTGGAGCAACTAGGGGTTAAGTGTCTTGCTCAGGGACACAATGGTGGATGGGTCACAGTGGGGGATTGGACCCCGGTCTGTCTTAGCCATTGCGCCCCTGCCACCCCTCATCCATGCAATGAAATCACATGCAATTTAAAGTTCATTATACTTTTATATCTACGGTGCTGCTAGTTTACTATTTGTCTATTTAACATTTTTAAAGATTGTTGTTTTGGTGTTGTGAATTGAGAAACCTCGCCTTGCCACAATGACTTTACCGCTTGCTGTCTCCAGAGGGCGCTGTTACATTATTGAAACCTCTAGTGGTCCTCCTTTGCTTGCTCGTTGGTGCGCTTGCCATGTTTGCGGAAGCATGGTAAAAGCAGCTAACTGGAGAAGGAGGCTTGTGACTTTTCTGTGTATGTTGTAGCTGTGTTTTATAATCCAACATGAATCTACCGAAGGGACCGGATTCTTTGTGCTTCGACAAGGACGTTTTTATGAAGGTAAGAATCCGTTAACGTTATGTTTGGTAAAGTGCCAACGATAGCTTGTGCCGTACAGTTAAACTAGCTAGCATTAGCTAGTTAAGTCTTTACTGGATACTCCTGTTTTTTCAACCTTTCCTGTTTAATTAGTACAGTTAATATGCGTTTAAAGTTAAATAACGGTAATTATTAATGTTGTTGTTTATATTGATATAACGTGAAACTTTTCTGTGCATGTGTTCATTCTGTATGATGTGTCAGTTTGTAGCCAAGTCGCTTTTCTCTCTCCATTTTCTGGTAAAGCTTGTCTGTCGATGTGTTAGGGATGCTGGATGTATGCTTCTGATCTTGCTGTCTGTCGCCTCTGTCTGCAGGATGACTTTGACGTTGACCAGTTTGTGTCGGAGTGTCGGAAGCAGGTCCAGCTGGAGGAGATGAGAGAGGACCTGGAGCTCTACTATAAGCTGCTGAAAACGGCCATGGTGGAGCTTATCAACAAGGACTATGCCGATTTTGTTAACCTCTCCACCAACTTGGTAAGTTGTTACTGATGTTGCTCATTAGCCACTTTGTTTGGACATTTTGAACCTTACAGCCTTGTAGTCCACAGGAGACAGGGAGGTTATCTAGAAATCACTGTCCACGTCTATTGATAAATATTCTCCTAAAATGTCTAAGACAAGCTTGACCTTCATTTAAACTGTATTGATGAATATCAGCTAAAATATTCTTATACCTATAAATTGACAAGCCTTTGCTTTTAGTAGATATTATCACAGATATTTTTTATTATTGGTGATTATGTTGGCAAATAGGCAAAAAGAAATTGGAGAGTGGTAAACTAAAGCAATACTTACTTTTTTGTCTTACTATTATTTTTGATAGCATATTGATTATTCTACTGTAAAATGTCTTCTATCACAAAATATTTGTTAATGTTATGTAGAGCTGCGATGATTAGTCAATTAGTCAGTTAGTTAGTCAACTATTAAATTCATCAATCAATCAATCTTTATTTATATAGCACTTTTCATACAAATACATGTAACACAAAGTGCTTCACACTATAGAACCATTTAAAATAGTTAAAATACTAAAAAAAAAAAAAGCAGGTCAAGACCAACAATCAATCCCCGCCCCACCCAAAATACAGCTCAGTTAAAAGCTTGGTTAAATAGGTATGTCTTTAGTTTGCCTTTAAACATGTCCAGATTTCCTGCTGCTCTCAGCTCAATAGGAAGGGTGTTCTACAAACCCGGGCCATAACATTGAAAGGATGCCTCACCGTAGGTTGTAGTTGAGGCTTTAGGAATAATTAGAAAGCCACTACCAGAGGACCTGAGGACCTCTAGTAGGTTCATAAGGTAAAAGCAAATCTGCTTAGTATTCTGGTCCAAATCTATTAAATGACTTATAAAGTAGTAAAAGGATTTTAAAATCAATTCTAAAATTAACTGGAAGCCAATGCAGAGACTTTAGGATAGGGGTAATGTGTGTTCTCTTTCTGGTCTTAGTCAACTTTTATTTTCTCTTAGAAAAAATTTCCAATTTCTCTGATTTCAGCTTCTTAAATGTGAATATATTCTGGTTTCTTTAGTCCTCTATGACAGAAACTGAATATCTTTGGGTTGTGGACATTTGAGGAAGTCATCTTGGGCTTTGGGAAACAATGATCGACATTTTTCACCATTTTATGACATTTTATAGGCCAAACAACTGATCGATAAACTGTAAAAATGATCGACAGATTAATTGATAAAGAAAATAATCGTTAGTTGCAGCCCTAATGTTATGTCAAAGTTAGGCTGTAGATATGCTCCCAAAAAATAAAAGGCAGACCACCATTCATGTTTTCATTTCTGATAGTGTGAGGGTAGACTCTTGTTAACTTTTGGCCTCTGCTTCCTTGTCTCAGGTGGGGATGGACAAGGCCCTCAATCAGCTTTCAGTGCCGTTGGGGCAGTTACGAGAAGAGGTTATGGTATGTGTTCTGACTAAGTGTACTGTAAGCTTTGATTGATTCCGGCCACAGAGTGTTCATGCATGGTTCTGGCTGTTATTCATTACAGAGTCTGCGGTCCTGCGTGAGTGAGGTGATTCAGGCTATAGACAGCCAGCTGTCCAAACACGATGATCTGCAGAAAAAAAAGGTTTGGCTCCTCGTCTTCCTGTCTGACTTCATCACTTGATCATATTTTGTATTCATCATTAAATTTATTTTATGATCACCTTAACATGGCTCTGTGACTGGTTTGGCATGCCCATGCCAAATTGTGAACTTAATGTTGTTTCAACAAGATTTTTGGTGCCAACGTACGGCTAGGCAATATGGCCAAAAATGTTATCACGATAACAAAATTTACATTGTTTGATATTGATAATTATCACGATAAATGTCAAATCATTATTTCTTTTTTAAAGGTTTAAAGGCTGATTTTTGCTCCTGAGTAAAATTGAAGAAAAAAAACCAGATGGTTTTGTGGATTATGGTTTTAACTATTCTTTATGGTCAGAACATGATGCTTGCCAAACAGTGGATCACTTAAAAAAAAAAAAAAAAAAAAAGTAGAACATTCAAAACAATTATGATATGCATGAGTAATATTAAGTGATATCTTCTTTCAGTGACCCTTTCCCTCAACAGAATAAATATCTTCATAGAAATAATTTATAATTTGTTCGTGATTCAAATTAATTAAATCAAACCTTTATTAAACATTTGTTATTTTGTTATTGAGGAAAATTATATCGCGATAATTATTGTTTTGTTGCCCAGACCTAGATTAACCTGTTTTTTTTAGGTAACAGCAATGCTAGTTTTCCTGCTTTTAATCTAGATTGTGCAATAGTAGACAGTTGTCAATCTCATCTTTCTATTATTATGCTGTCCATCAGGTGTATGTATTGAGGTTAATTCAGGTGGTGCGGTCAGTGGAGAAGATTGAGAAGATCCTTCACTCACAG